ACCGCCCCCACCCCGGCCACCGCCGCCGCCGCTGCCTCCACCACCCCCACCGCTGCCACTAGCCCCTCCAGCCCCGCCACCGCCCCCACCGCCGCCACCACCCCCACCACCGCCTCCCCCGCCGTCACCCCCACCGCCCTTGCCTCCCCTGCCCTTGCCGCTGCGGCGCCCGCTGGGAGCGGACGCAGAGCCGACTTGCTTAGCACCAAGGAGGTCGACAGCAGCAGCAGAGGCGACAGAGGGGAGCAGGGGGGAGGGGGAACACCCCTCAAAGAAAGGGGTGCGGGGGTCGCCACGAGAGGCACCTACAGCTACAATACTCTTCTCAGCTGCAAGTAGTTCCTTCTCTAGGGCGGCAATGGTGAGCTCAGTGGGGCAGCGAGCTAGGAAGTGGTCCCTGACTGTACGCAGAGTGTCAGGGAGGCGGGTGACTAGGTGGTAGAGAGTGAGCCAGAGCGGGGGAGGGTTGGAGGCAAGAAACTCAGCGGGCATGGCTGCACGGAAGCGGGCATCACTAGTGCGGAGGTGAGTGATGAGGTCAGCGACTGTCTGGAAGGCGGACAGGTCGGGGAACAGGTAGGGAAGCGAGAGGCGGCCTAGTGCAGCTGAGGCCGGGGAGGAGTAGCGCGCAACTACAGCAGTGTACAGGGCCTGCGCAGTCTGATGCTGGCCAAAGTGCTCGCGCTCGTCGACTTGCAGGGAGTTGCGAATAGCAAAGCGGGCGTGGGCATCGCGAGTCTGCCACTGTGAGCGAGCAGTAGCAGCAGCAGTAGTAGCAGGAGTAGGGACTGTGCCTAGTGCGTGATCGTACAGCGAGATATCCTCTCTGGCAGTGAGCTGGAGGAACAGGTGCAGATCATCGAGTCAGGTCTCAAACTTAATCGGGCGGCCCTCAGCATTGAACGAGAGAACTGGAGGGCTAGCCATAGCTGAAGTAGCAGTAGCAGAAGTAGCAGCAGCAGCAGCAGTAGCAGCAGCAGTAGCAGTAGCAGTTGCAGTAGCAGTAGTAGTAGCAGTTCAGTACTGGTGCTGCTGCTCATGGAAGGAGGGCGCGGCTCGGCTAGGACGGCGCGGCTCGGCTAGGGCGGCGCGGCTCGGCCAGGGCGGCGCGGCTCGGCTAGGGCGGCGCGGCTCGGCTGGGTCGCGCGGTTTGGCTCGGGTCGCGCGGTTCAGCTGGGGTCGCGCTGTGCGGCTCGGCCGTAAGAGGCGAGCGCGGGAGGGGCCGTGAGAGGCAAGTCGGGGCTAGCTTTTTTTTTTTTTTTTTTTTTTTTTTGAAGCAAAATTGACTCAGTTACCCAGCTTCATGTCAGAATGAGAAACAAGAATGAATGACTAGGAAATGAGGGTTGGGTACAAATATGTGAAACCTAACCCTAGAATTGTGTACCCACTATAGGCTAGCCCACTGTAGCCTAAACAAGCACAACATACAATATTTGACAATCCGAGGCCTGCGCTTCTTGTCAAAATTAGAAAGAAAGAAGAGGGCTTGACTAGCAAGAATGGGGATACAAATAGGAAACCCTAACAGGGTTGTACTCGCTATAGAGCACCCCACTACAGGCTAGATAAGAACATTCTGACACACCCCCATAGCCAAAGTGGGGTGTAATCAGCAGAGCAAGCAAAGCAGTACAAGCTCAGGGTGGATCACAATGTCACCACACATTCTGAGCACAAGTTCAAGAAGCAATAGTTAAAGTGCACAATTATCAGCAAAGCTAGTGGTAGTCACAACGGGCAAGTGAGGAGGAGGAGGGAGAGTGAGAGGAGAGGAGATAGAAGGCGGCGGCTGAAGCTGCAGACACACGGGCAACAGGAGTGGCGAGCACAGTGGCTACCGGACTAAGCGCCCGGACTACAGGAGTAACAGGCCCCGCGGCTTAAGCAGCGGCAGACGGGCAACGGACCCACAGGCGACTGGCGCAGCGACAAGCTCACTGGGCTACCGAGACAACGCCCCGGACTACAGGTGCTGCGGACAACAAGCTGGCAGCCTCCACTCAACCTCCCGCAGACAGTCCCACCCCCCTGATACACACCCGCTGCTACACCCCTAGCTCCACTCCCACGTACCCCCCTTAAAACCTAAACCCCAGTCTCCCACTCATCCACCCCCCTCAGCGACAGCTGCAGCAGTGGGAGACGAAGGAGGAGGAGGAGCAAGGGAGGAATGCATACGTGCCACCCCCATACGCGCCACCCCCAAACCCTAACACAGGCAGGGCGGGATGGTGGGTAGGGAGGTTACGGAGGGGGGGGGGGACCGACGCGCGGCCTCCCAGGGTGCCAAGACAGGAAGCAGAAGGGGCGGCGCCCGCCCCCCTCCCCAAGCGGCCCCCGAGGGTCGCCTCGACCGGCGACGGGAAAAGGGGCTGCAGGCGGGGCCGGGACGGGCACCGCACGGGCGACGACGGGGCTGGACAGCGGCGCGGGGCCGGGACGGGCGGCGCACGGGCGGCGACGGGCCAGGGCAGCTGCGCGGGGCCGGGACGGGCAGGCGCACGGGCGGCGACGGGCCGGGGCAGCTGCGCGGGGCCGGGACGGGCAGACGCATGGGCGGCGACGGGCCGGGGCAGCTGCGCGGGGCCGGGACGGGCAGACGCACGGGCGGCGACGGGCCGGGGCAGCTGCGCGGGGCCGGGACGGGCAGACGCACGGGCGGCGACGGGCCGGGGCAGCTGCGCGGGGCCGGGACGGGCAGACGCACGGGCGGCGTGGGGCCGGGACGGGCGGCGAACGGGTGTCGACGGGCCGGGGCAGCGGCGCGGGGCCGGCGCGCGGGTCCCCGTCGCCCGTCGCAGCGCCTCCCGAAGGCGACGCGTCGAGCGTCGAGGCAGAAGCCCGCCGCGCGCCTCGGGGCGCACAGCGGGCAGAGAACCGCCGCGCGCTCCGGGGCGCACGGCGGGCAGAAAACCGCCGCGCGCCTCGGGGCGCACGGCGGGAAGAAAAAATGCCGCACGCCACGGGGCGTGCGGCTCAGAGGGTAGTTGCAGTAGTAGCAGCGGAAGCGAGAAGGTGGTAAACCCACCCACATGATCGATCCAAGGGGATCGACCTGCTCTGATAGCATATCAAAATTAGAAAGAAACAAGAGGGCTTGACTAGCAAGAATGGGGATACAAATAGCAAACCCTAACAGGGTTGTACTCGCTATAGAGCACCCCACAACAGGCTAGATAAGAACATTCTGACACTTCTATCCAGGGGCTTACGGTACAATGTACCACCGCTAATACTGGGCGTCGGCGCACAGGTACATTCAATCAGAGTTGGTACTTGTTTGTGTGTGAATTCATCAAAGTACACTCCTTAAAAACATATGAAATTTCATAGTCAGATGATAAAAAAAATCAGATTTTTACAGAGTTGAGGCCATAAAAACTCTGAATTTCTCAGAGTACACCTTAATAAAAATCTGAAATCTCAGACTTTTTCAAGCAAATCAAACAAAAAACTCTGACTTCTGAGGGCCTGGTTGCAAGTGGCAGAGGTGCCACATGGCATTCGCGCCTCAACTTGTAATGTTAGAAGGACCAGGGAAACACTCAAGTTGTCTAAACAAAAAAAGCTCTTACACTAAAATATACCATATATACCCACCCAGGTATTATGTAGCTAGGAGACCTCCCCCCCCCCATATTTTCTGTGTATTTTCAGCTATACCCTAGGGTGTTATGTCCGAGAGAATACAGTAATCCAACTTAGCTTATAATGTGCTCATGCAAAAGTGTGAGTGACTGCTGAACATAATTCCATCCATTGGCTTATGGTACCGTCTCCCCCCGGATATACCCCCATGGGGCAATAATAAAACAGGTTTTTTCATGGGGGTGGGCTTATAATCGAGTAAATTTATAAGCGCCGGCGTTTATAAAATGACATACATATTTTTTTATATCTTTTAACACCAAATTGTAGGTCTCGTGCTTGCCTTTTCAATCAAGTCGAAGTTACATGGGATCGTCTGTGAAATTCTCGTGCGCGCTGGGAGACACACCCAATCTGACTCACATCCAGCTCCTGACAGGTCCTGCTGACTGGACCCGCATCCAGTGCAGGGTCCGAATGTGAAGGGAACCGAATCTGCAACATATCCGCCTGCTAAAGTAAAAATCGTTACAGCTTTTTGAACACATTTCAAATTTTAAAGTTTACGTGCGCTTATAATAAAACAAGTTTTTTCAAGGGGTGCGCTTATAATCGAGGAGGGGATATAAGCGCCATATGCCAATTAGAAGCGCCAGGCGCTTATCCTAGGGTGGCGCTTATATCCGGGGGGAGACGGTACCGTAAGCCCGCCCCCGGATAGAAGCGCAGGCCTCGGAAAAGTGCCGGCGCTTATAAAAGGATGAGGGCGCTTATATCCGGTCCTCGATTATAAGCCCACCCCTAACGGCTTACGGATTATAAGCGCCTCCCTTTCTTATTTTCGCTTTAGTTTTACCGATATCTTTGTAACGAGACTCACTTTTGCATCAATTGACCCTTGAATTTCGGTCCCTTGACCCTCGCTCGACTCACTTCCAGCGTGTCTAGTCGGAATGAGCTGTCAGAGGCGCAAACTGACTCAGTCTAACTGTTTGTGTTGGCAGGGAATTATTCCCTGCCAAGTATCGCGAGATTCTCATTCACTAGCCTGTATAGTTTCGACTCGATTCAAAACACAAGAACGAGATGTACAGTTTGGTGTAAAATATACTGATTTCATAAATGCCATTTTATAAACACCGGCGCTTATAAAATTCCTCAATTATAAGCGCAGCCCCTAAAAAACAGTGTTTTTTTATACCCCCAGGGGCGCCTCTATCCGGGGGCTGACGGTAGTCTAATCGCATGCACAGAGAACCAGGCGCTAGAATGCTACAGACCTGCTTCCTACCCATCTGCACACTGCCTCCCACACAGTGCCTGCTGTACTGCCATGACAACACTGTTGCCTACCTGAATGCACACTACCAGCCCCTCCTGCGATACCACGGGACAGGACCCCATCAATGTCACAAATGAGGCAGCAATAGCCCACACAAGCCAACACCAGCGCACACCACTCTACACCACTCCGCAGCAGTCCACAGCAGCCCCACCAGGGGCACTGCTGTCTGTTCCACATGCTCCTCGCTCGCTGCGTGCGCCGGTGGCAGCGTGCGAGCAGCATGCCGGCACAGGCATCCGTGCAGCATGCAGCGGGGCAGTGGACCATGCAGCGACGCACTGGGGCATGCAGCGGGGCAGTGAGGCACGCAGCGGGGCACTGAGGCATGCAGCGGGGCAGTGAAGCATGCAGCGGGGCAGTGAGGCACGCAGCGGGGCAGTGAGGCATGCAGCGGGGCAGTGAGGCATGCAGCGGGGCAGTGAGGCATGTGCCACACGATGGCAGTGACAAGCTCTGGGGCCAGGCAGCAGCGGGGGTGACGGCGGCGATGCACAGGTCAGAGTGAGAGGGTGGCGGACAGGGAGGGGTGGGAGAGCGACGCGGTGGCACCTCCAAACAACATGCGCTGCCGCTTCCTGCGCCGCCTCTCCTGGCGCCGCGTGAGACACACAGGCGAGGGGGACACGGGCAAGGCGACTTCCTGGCCGCCACCCACAGGCACCGTGGATGGCGCGCCCACAGGCACCGCGGATGGCGCACCCACTGGCACCGCGGATGGCACGCCCACAGGCACCGTGGATGGCGCGCCCACAGGCACCGTGGATGGCGCGCCCACAGGCACCGTGGATGGCGCGCTGGGCCCCGCTGCTCCCTGCGTCTGGCCCGGCCCCACATAGCCCCCTTCTGCCTCGCGGTGCTGCCCTCCTGCCTCGCGGTGCTGCCCTCCTCCTGCCTCACCCCCATGTCTCGCAGCTTCCTCTCTTTGCCGTCTCCGCCACTGCCTCTGCCGCTTCCTCTTGCGCGCCTTGAGAGCCGCGCTGCAGGCGGCTCTGCCAGCCCCACCAGCACTGAGGGGCGCCACCACTGCACCGCCTCGCCACCCGCCATCCCATCCAGCTGCTGCCTCCCCATTGCTGGCCCCACTGCCATCCTCATTCTCGTCCGCGCCCCCCTCAACCTCCCCCTCCTCCTCCCCCTCCACCTTCCCCTCCTCCTCCCCCTCCACCTCCCCCTCCTCCTCCCCCTCCACCTCGCCCTCAATCTCGCCCTCCTCCAGCTTGCTCGCATCAACAGCCCCACTCATCCCATTCATGTGCTCCTCGCTCTGCCCTCCTTCCTCACATGCCTCCCCCCCTTCCCCTCCCTCTCCCTGCGCACCCCCCCCCTCCCGCACGCTCCCACCCTGTAGTTGCTCCTCCCTCGCCCCTTCCCTCCCGACCTTCCTCTCTCCTTCCCTCTCCCTCTCCCTCTCACTCTCCCTCTCCTTCTCCTTCTCCCTCTCCTTCTCCCTCTCCCTCTCCCTCTCCCTCTCCTTCTCCCTCTCCTTCTCCCTCTCCCTCTCCCTCTCCCTCTCCCTCCCCCTCTCCCTCTCCCTCCCCCTCTCCCTCTCCCTCCCCCTCTCCCTCTCCCTCTCCCTCTCCCTCTCCCTCTCCCGCTCTCCCTCCCGCGCCACGTCCGCCATCTCCTGCACGCCCCTCCCCTCAACACGTCTGCCCGACGGTGCTGCCATCCACTCGCCACCTGCGCCCTGCACTGCCCCACCTGCGCCCTGCACTGCCTCACCTGCGCCCTGCACTGCCTCACCTGCGCCCTGCGCTGCCTCACCTGCGCCCTGCACTGCCTCACCTGCGCCCTGCGCTGCCTCACCTGCGCCCTGCACTGCCTCACCTGCGCCCTGCACTGCCTCACCTGCGCCCTGCACTGCCTCACCTGCGCCCTGCACTGCCTCACCTGCGCCCTGCACTGCCTCACCTGACGCGCCGCCACCAACCCTGCCGTGCCCGCTACCCCCACTGCCACTTGCACCTCTGCCATCTCTACCCTCCCCGCCGCCCGCATCCTTCATTGTGACTTCATCTCCTACTCCTCCTCCCTTTTCGAACCCTTCCTCCATTTCCTCCACACTTGGCTTCCCTCTTCCCTCCTCGCACTCTTCCACTCCTCCCTCTTCCCCTTCTTCCCCCGGTCTCTCTCCTCCACTCTCTCCTCTCTCCTCTACCCTCATCTCTCCTCCCTCCGCTCCTCCCTCCCCACCTTCCTTCTCTATAACCTTCACTTTCTCCTCTTTTCCGCCCGTCGCCCCTCCCTCCAGTCCCCTCTCCTCCTGCCCCACCCCTGCCAATCGCCCCACCTCCGCCCGCCGAGCCGCATCACCCCTCCCTTCAGCGCCTCCCGCACCGCCCTCTCCATTCTTCTTGCCGCCTGCGTCTGTCTCATCAACTCCCTCCCCCCCTCCCTTCCCCTCGCTGCCGTCACTCCCTTCGCTACCTTCACTCCCCTCGCTGTCATCCACCACAACCACATCCTCCTCCCCTTCCCCCTCCCGATCCCCCTTCCCTTCCCCCTGCCCCTGTTTGTCCTCCTCCCCCTCCGTCGGCCCCGCCAAAGGCCACACGCCATCGAAGCTGCACGCCCCACCGCCCTGCTCTTGCGTCGTCCCGCCCTCCCCAACTACCTCCACCACATCGCTCTCCTCCCTCCCCTCCACCTCCATTCGCTCCTCCATACCCACTCCCTCGCTCTCCACTTCCATCCTCTCAATTCCCTCCTCGCGCTGTTCTGCCTCCACCTCCTCCTCCATCTCCTCCTCCATCTCCTCCTCCTCCATCTCCTCCTCCTCCATCTCCTGCGCCTGCCCTACCCCCCCCGGCTGCGCCTCCTGCTGTCCGCCATCGACCGCTGTCTTTGCCGCCAAGTCCTCCTCCCTCACCTCACTCACCTCCCTCACCCCCACATCACCAACATGCCCCCTTCCCCGCGCCACACCCTCTGCCCCTCCTCCACCCGCTCCACCCGCTCCCATCCCTTCCATCTCCGCGCCACCTTCCACCTCTCTCTCACCTTCCACCTCTCTCTCACCTTCCACCTCTCCCTCCGCTTCCACCTCTCTCTCCGCTTCCACCTCTCCCTCCGCTTCCTCCTCCCCCTCCGCTTCCTCCTCCCCCTCCGCCTCCTCCTCCCCCTCCGATTCCTCCTCCCCCTGTGCTTCCTCCTCCGCCCCCTCCGCTTCCTCCTCCCCCTCCGATTCCTCCTCCTCCTGTTCTTCCTCCTCCCCCTCCGCTTCCTCCTCCCCCTCCGCTTCCTCCTCCCCCTCCGATTCCTCCTCCCCCTGTGCTTCCTCCTCCCCCTCCAATTCCTCCTCCCCCTCCGCTTCCTCCTCCCCTTCCGCTTCCTCCTCCCCCTCCGCTTCCTCCTCCCCCTCCGATTCCTCCTCCCCCTCCAATTCCTCCTCCCCCTCCGCTTCCTCCTCCCCCTCCGATTCCTCCTCCCCCTCCGCTTCCTCCTCCCCCTCCGCTTCCTCCTCCCCCTCCGCCTCCTCCTCCCCCTCCGATTCCTCCTCCCCCTGTGCTTCCTCCTCCGCCCCCTCCGCTTCCTCCTCCCCCTCCGATTCCTCCTCCTGTTCTTCCTCCTCCCCCTCCGCTTCCTCCTCCCCCTCCGCTTCCTCCTCCCCCTCCGATTCCTCCTCCCCCTGTGCTTCCTCCTCCCCCTCCAATTCCTCCTCCCCCTCCGCTTCCTCCTCCCCTTCCGCTTCCTCCTCCCCCTCCGCTTCCTCCTCCCCCTCCGATTCCTCCTCCCCCTCCAATTCCTCCTCCCCCTCCGCTTCCTCCTCCCCCTCCGATTCCTCCTCCCCCTCCGCTTCCTCCTCCCCCTCCGATTCCTCCTCCTCCTGTGCTACCTCCTCCCCCTCCAATTCCTCCTCCCCCTCCGCTTCCTCCTCCCCTTCCGCTTCCTCCTCCCCCTCCGCTTCCTCCTCCCCCTCCGATTCCTCCTCCCTCTCCGATTCCTCCTCCCCTTCCGCTTCCTCCTCCCCCTCCGATTCCTCCTCCCCCTCCGATTCCTCCCCCCCCTCCTCGCCCGCACTGCCCGCGCTGCTGCCAGGCGAGCGGTGCAGCCCCGCCCGCCCAGGCAAGGGCAAGGCCACCTCCACCACGTCGCTCTCCTCCTCGCCCTGCCCCACTCCTTCGCCCTCCATTCCATCCTCCTCCTCCTCCTCCTCCTCCTCCTCCTCCTCCTCCTCCTCCTCCTCCTCCTCCTCCTCCTCCTCCTCCTCCTCCTCCTCCTCCCCCTCCTCTTCCTCCGCCAGCTCCTCCAACTCCTCCGCCCTCACCTCCCGCACCCCCAGCTCACCCAGACCGCCCCACGCCCGGCTCGCTGCATCATCGCCCGCGCCACCCTCCCACGCTCGCATCCCGCCGCTGCGCTCATCATCTTCCGCCTCCGCCTCTGCTCTGCGCGCCCCTCTGCCCGCCTGCCCACCACCGCGGCCCACCTGCAGCAGCCGCTGCCGCCTCTCGCGGCGCCAGCGCGCGTGCGCCACGAGGCGGGCCTCGCCGGGCGTCATGTGGGGGTTCTGCCGCCGCACGCGCCACGCCTCCCGCTCCACCCACTCTCTCATCGCCGCCCGGTCCACGCCCGCCCCCGCCCTCCCTGCCGCCGTCGCCCTCCTGCCGCCCGCACTAGTGGGGTGTGCAGCGGTGGTGGGTGCGGCAGGGGGGGCCGGGCGGGGGGCGAAGAGGCGCTGCTGCAGGCGGGGGGAACGCCGCACGCGCCCTGGTGGGGCCGAGGGGGCTGAGGGGGGAGTGGGCGTTGCTGTGGGGGTGGGGTTGGCTGTGAGGATTAGGGTGGCATGGAGTGGGCGTGGTGACAGGGATGGCTCTCCAGTACTAGCAGCACCCCATGCAACAGCACCCCCCCCTGCAGCACCCCTTGCAGCCCCGCCACTAGCAGCAGCAGCTGCAGCAGAAGCGGCAGCAGCAGTGGCAGGCACGGACGGCGGGGCAGCAGGAGGACGCAGGGCGGGCGAGGTGGCATCGAGAGGTGGCAGGGGCGAGCGCGGAGGCGCTTGGGTGGCTGCGGGAGGAGGTCTGGAGGACGGTGCAGCGGCATGGGGACGCGGCAAGGAGGGAGGAGCAGGAGGGGCCGGGCGGGAGGGCGGGAGGAGGCGGTGGGGCGAGATGGAGGCGAGGTGGTGGGGCGAGATGGAGGCGAGGTGGTGGGGTGAGATGGAGGCGAGGAAACGCAGCTCTGCAAAGGGCACGTCTAGGGGCGCTCCCTCTGCCATGCCATGGCGATGACGTCACCCACATGCATGCACACCCACATGCATGCACACCCACATGCATGCACACCCACATGCATGCACACCCACATGCATGCACACCCACATGCATGCACACCCACATGCATGCACGCCCACATGCATGCACGCCCACATGCATGCACGCCCACATGCATGCACGCCCACATGCATGCACACCCACAAGCATGAGCCCACATGCACACACACAAGCACGCATACATACCCGCATGTACCCAAACGCATGCATCCATATGCACATGCACGCGCTCACACACAAATGCATGCAAGAAAAAGGAGCACGAGATTTATCGGCCCACCGCAATCCGAACGTGCCTCGTGCATCGGGTGTGCATCGGGTGTGCCCTTGACCCCAAGCATCATCGGGTGTGCCCTTGACCCCAAGCAGCATCGGGTGTGCCCTTGACCCCAAGCATCCACCACTTTCTATCTCTCTCCCACATTTCCTCCCACGTGCTTCCCTCCCTCTGCCTCGCATTTTCGCCTCGCCCGCCCGCCTCCCCCGCCCTCCCGCCTGCCCGGTCCGCCCGCCTCACCTGCCAAGCGGCGCAGCGCGTCGGCCATCTCCGCCAGGCCCAGCTGCACCGTCTCCAGCGCGCCCGCCACCTCCGCGGCCCACATCGCCGCCGCCGCTGCGCCGCCATCCCCATCCGGCCCCCCCTCCCCATCTCCGTGCGCAGAGGGATGCGGCGGCGTTTCGGGCTGCATGCTTGCGCGCGTGCCTCCAAAAAGCTTGCTGGGCGGCGACGGGCGGGCGCGAAAACGAGCGACGATGGTCGATCGATAAAGTTGCGGCGTGAAGAGATGCGGAGCGCGGAGGGGAGAAGCGCGCGGAAGGAGGTGCGGTGGGTGGGAGCGTCGCGCCCTTGACACGACAGCTCGCGGATGACGCTTCGGGTGGCGAACAATTCACTCCCGACGTGAGTTGAGGATCGACGCGGACGGCGCGTACGCCTGGTCTGCAGAGATGCGCGCGCACGACTCTAGTCGGTACTTGGCGAGCATTACAGAGAGGTTGAGGCGTGCGGCGGAAAAACAGCAGACCCCTTATCTACCGATTTAGTACACCCAATTCTTTATTGAATTTTGTATTGGACCTACCATAATACCCCGGATATAAGCGCACCTGCGCTTATAATAAAATAGTGTTTTTTGGGGGGGGGGGTGCGCTTATAATTGAGTCAGATTTATAAGCGAATGCGCTTATATAATGACAAATACAAATATATCATTCATTAGCACCAAACTGTACGTCTCCTTCGTGCGATTTCAATCGAATCGAAGTGGTAGCGAGTCAAAATTCAGATTCGCGCGTGAGCGATTTTCTGCCGGCGCACAGGGGCAAATTTACACGTCACTATCAGAAATGCCAGCTCATACTGACTGGACGTGCAGTATGTGAGGTCCTCGAAAGTCAATCGAAGCGAAAATGGTTGTATCCTCACTGCAAAATTTGAAATCGCTACCATTTTAATATGGTTTAAATTTTAAAATTATACATGCGCTTATAATAAATCAAGGTTTTACAGGGGGTGCGCTTATGAATGAGGATAGGCCATAAGCGCATTGCTCTAGATACAAGCGCATGCGTTTATAATAGGCCTGCGCTCATATCCGGGGCCATACGGTATCTTTTAAATTGTTATTGGTGCAATGGAACAAGATAGAAAGTGATTCCACTAGGTTACCGCAAAAAACTGAGTAACAAAGTGTGAGCCATGAGCAAAAACTAATGTGCGAACATGCAAACCGTAACGCGATGCGTTCGAGCTAGCTGGTGTCATGCTGGCATCGAGGTTCAGACTAATCCCATAGAGTAGGTTGTGAAGCAAGGAAAACAGGAATGAAATGACTAAGGAAAGATTGGGTACAAATACAACCCTAGAAACCCTGTACCCCATATGTGCTACCCCACTATAGCCTACAGCAACTATGTCATATAAATCTGACACACCCCCATAGGCAAAGTGGGGGAGAACAAGGGGTCACAAGACCAGTCAAGCAAAGCAGAGCAAGCTCAGGGTGGATCACAAAGTCACCACACAGTCCGAGCACAAGAGTAGGGCCAGAGGCCAGTTCACATGCAGGAGTACAGACATATATATAAAACTAGACAAGCAAGAGCAGGCATATATATATGTCACAGTACAAGTGAAGTCAAGAGGAGAGCAAGTGAGGCAAGACAGGCACAAGACCCAGCTGGGTGCAAAAGCGCTGATGGTCACAAGGAGCGAGTGCCTTGGTGAACACATCAGCAGTGTTGGCCTCAGAGGCCACGTACGCAAGTCGCAACTGACCACGCTGCTGCAGCTCACGAGCAAGGAAGTAGCGGAGAGCAATGTGCTTCGTTCTGTGCTCCAAGCGCTGCTCTCGACACAAGGCCAGCATGGCCTTGTTGTTTACGTACAGCACTGGAGGAGAACGAGGCGGCTCTCCAAGGTCAGTCAGCAGGTAGGTGAGCCAGCGAAGCTCCTGTGCAGCCATGGCCCCGGCGTAGATCTCAGCCTCACAACTGGAGCCGAGAACCGAAGACGAGCGAGTAGACCGCCACGAGACAGAGCCGGAACCAAGGCTGAAGGTGTAACCCTGTGACGACCGGTGCGTAGCCTGGTCGTCAGCCCAAGAAGCGTCCGCGTGGCCGGTAAGGACCACTGGACTCCGCCCTCCAAGCACTAGCCCCATGCCCGACGTGCTGCACAGGTAGCGCAATACCCTCTTCGATGCAGCCATGTGATCCGGTCTGTGTCTCCCAGGAGCAACATAGCGAGCAAGAATTCTCAGAGGGTATGCAAGGTCAGGTCGTGTGCAGGTCATCAGGTACATGAGGCAGCCAACAAGCTCTGCATACGGACCACTCGACTCTACGAACTCATCCGAAGGCAAAGCTGAGAGTGAGTGGCGAGTAGGCAGAGGAGTGGCGTGAGGCGAGGAGTACGTGAAGCCGAAGCGCTGAAGGACCTGCTGCACCATGTGTGACTGAGTCAAGGTAATGGTGCGGCGTGCTCTGTCCCGAGTGATCTGCAAGCCAAGGTAGCTGCGCAGTTCACCCAGGTCTGTGCACGTGTGTCTCTTCAGCAGCTCGGACTTCACGTAGGCGAGTCCAGCAATGTCTGCTGTGGCAAAGACCAAGTCGTCGACGTACACGAGGATGTAGAACGGCGGCAGGGAAGTGTCGGTGCGAAGAAACAGCGACGGGTCAGCAGTAGAAGGAGCAAACCCAAGAGCCGCAAGCGTAGTCCTCAGTGTGTCGTGCCACTCACGCGGTGCCTAGCGGAGACCGTAGACTGGCCGTCGGAGGCTCCACTGGGTGCCAGGAGGGAAAGTCCCAGTGAAGCCAGGTGGACGGCGAAGCCAGATCTCCTCGTGCAGGCTACCCTGCAAGAACGCAGTGCTGAAGTCGAGAGAGTGAAGCTCGTAGTCGCGCTGAGCGGCTATGTGCAGCAGCACCCGAAGAGTAGTCATCTTCGGGGTGGGAGAGAAGGTCTGAAAGTAGTCAACTCCCTGCCGCTGACTGAAGCCACGAGCAACGTACCGTGCCTTGAAGACAGGTGGAGAGCCCGGCGGCCGCTTCACCCTGAAGATCCACATGCCACTGACGATGTTCGCCCCAGGAGGGGGAACCGCGTCAACGTAGGTGCCTGTGGACTTCCAGGAAGCCATCTCTGCATCCATAGCTGCCTGCCACTGAGAGGAGTAGGGACCCTCTACGGCCTCCGCGTAAGAACGCGGAGTCGGGATGTCTAGTGCATCCGGGTCTCCCTCAGGGGCAAGCAGTACAGACGCGAGATGAGGTGAAGCAGCCGCTAGACACTGTAACTCCTCCTGCCTGTCCTCTAGGACGTCCGTGCCAAGAGCACACTCACCCCCGACGGACGGAGGACAGACAGACGCAGACTCAGCAACAAGACTAGCAGCGTAGTCGAGACGACAGCGAGCAGCAAAGTCAACGAGCTCAGCGACTAGAGCAGACGCAGCAGTGGACTCAAAAGAGGGGTCAGTGACGACAGTAGCAAGCAGACGCGTGACAGCAGGACTGGCAGCGCGAAGAGAGTCCGACTCAGGGTCGGCAAGCGCAGGAAGAGAGGACTCAGGAGGAGAAGGCAAAGGGGCACGCAGAGGAGCAGTGGACGGACGCAGAGACATCCGGTGCGTGCCAGGGACAGGAGGAGGAGGCTGACGCGAACTGCGACCACTAGCGCGAGCAGCACGAACAGGCGACGCGGGAAGAGACGCAGGCTCACGACGCTCTGCAAGACCTCCAGTAGGACCAGTGTAAGGAGAGGGAGCAGGCAGTGGAGAGGAAGGCTCCAGCAGGGACTGCGACTGGACAGGCGGTGGGCCCTCTACTGGAGGAGAAAGACCAAGAACCTGCTGCAGGAGCGGAACGAAGTACGGCCGAGGCCGCGCGGCAGCTCCAGACTCAGCAGGGACAGCACCAGCACCCTCAGGGACAGCACCAGCGCCACCCACACCTCCAGCGGCAGGACCAACAGCAGCAGGCTCAGCACGAACGCCCTCAGCAGCTCCAGCTCGAGGAGGACCCGCAGGTCCAGCAGCTCCGGGACCGGCAGCACCCGCACCCTCGACGGTCGAAGAAGCTCCAGCTCCAGCTCCAGCAGCACCTCCAGACTCAGCAGCACGCCTCCAGCGGCGAGCGAACCACTCGCGCAGCTCCTGTGGAGAGAGGGGCTCCCGGCGAGACGCAGCAGCAGGAGAAACCCCAGGCTCAGCAGCTCCAGACGCAGCACCCCCAGGCTCAGCAGCTCCTAGCTCAGCACCCCCAGGCTCAGCAGCTCCCGACCCAGCACCCCCAGACCCAGCACCTCCAGGCACAGCACCCCCCGGCTCAGCACCCCCAGGCTCCGCACCCACCGCAGTAGCACCCTCAGGCCCAGCACCCCCAGCAGTAGCACCCCCAGGCTCAGCACCCCCGCGCACAGTACCCCCAGAGTCAGCACACCCAGGCTCAGCACCCGCAGCAGCACCAGAGTCACCAGTAACCTCGACCGGGTCAACGGCGTCTACCTGGGACACACGTGAGGGGGCAGGAACCTGAGGGGGGAGGGGGTCTACCGGGGGGGGAACCGGCACAAGGAAGTCCGGGGGAGGGGGGAGGGAAGGAGTGCGGTAGGGGAAGAGACGGTAGAAGGGGACTGACTCGTCGAACGTGACGTCCTGGGAGGACAGAACACGACGAGAGGAGGGGTGGTAAAACTGCCACCCTGGGGCGTCAGTGGGGAAGCCAAGGAAGACACAGGGAGCAGCACGAGGGGACAGCTTGTCCGCAGACAAGTCGCGGACAAACGCCCGAGATCCCCAGACACGGAACACAGACGCATCGCCAACCTTCCCCGTCCACAGCAAGGCTGGGGACATCGCAGGCCGAGAGACCCGGGGGTGAAGGTTGAGCTGATGCGCCGCGTACCTCACCGCAAACGGCCACAGAAAAAGGGGGGCAGCCGCATGCATCATGGACGTACGAGCGACATCCATGACCATGCCAATGCGGCGCTCAGCAATCCCATTTTGCTGTGGTGAGTCCGGAAGCGTGAAGGTCTGGCGGATCCCCCGTGCACGACAGTAGTCCCGCAGAAGGCGAGAAGAGAACTCTCCGCCTCTGT